AGAGAGAGAGAGAGAGAGAGAGAGAGAGAGAGAGGTGTGATAAGGTGGATGAGGAGAGATAAGTAGTTGAAGCATTGCAAATGATGCATTTGACTTTTAAGAGAGGAACATAAGTGCCCGCTTATGCTAGAACCCAGCCTTAGAATAAACTAATACTCAGAAAGTATTAACATTATTGATTCCGCTATGAAGGAATGTGCAGTTGTTTACAAATTTAAAAAGCAGGAAAGCTGAGAAAAACGATAAGGCTACTAACCTGTACAATTGTTTCTCCAGTGCATAGTTTTCTGCCTGTAGGGCCAGAATTTCTCGACTGAGGAAAGAAAATAGAAAGTTTAAAAAAAGAAAAGAAGAATAAGATTAAGCATAGATACTTTGGAAGGTATTTGTTTCTTCAAGGAATTTACATACAAACACCTGCAGACATACAGACATCCACAACCATATACACTACAGACACATACATGCACCCATATTATTAAGGAGTAGGAAAGCTATGTCTCTGCCCTTTCTTATTCCTTGACTTTATTCATTTCCGTTGTTCTTCTTCCGACTTAGCCTTGAGCTAGCTTTAGAGATACCCAGCATTTGTACCAGAGTGATTGAAGTGAAGACATACTAAGACAATGGGTCGCTGGAGAGAAGCGCATAACCGAGTTATTGGCAATTGGTTTTAAAGAACAATTGGACAGACCGACATCAACATCAGTGGAATAATAAAGGAGAGACAAGTGACGCTCTCAATCCGCCAGGAACTGGGCAGTGAGTCAGAGATGATAATACCATTATGAGAGAAGATTTTTTATTTATTTATATGGAGTGGAATCTTAGCGGAAGTGCAGTAGTACGGGCCTCAGTAGCGTCGATGGTCTAGTGTTGTTTTTTTAAAGTAAATTTTTTACGGCATTGGCATTACAATTAGGTTAGATGAGTGGTGGAGATTAGAGGTGCCACAAGACAGTAACAAACACGAAAAAGGACGAAAGATGTTTGATTAAACAGAAGGAGCAAATCACACCAGAGCATCCGACAACCACCCGCAGCCTAGTGGTTAAGCTATCGGACTCGCAACTGTAAGGTCGATGGTTCGAAGCCCGTCATGGGTTTGATCTTGCGTCGTTGGGAAAGACACTTTACACGATTTGTACTCACTTCCCCTAGGTGGGAATGGGTACCCGGCTACAGACAGATAAAGATCTTATCGGTTTGCCAGTGTTAGGGCGTTTGCAATCGGCACTGCATGCCCTCCGTGAAGCCGAGGAAAATATCGCTGAGTGGTCTGGGGTCTTCAGGGGTAATACTAGTTGTAAATCGCATAGAGCAAGCTGTAGAGCGTGGATATGAGCTATACAAATGCAATGATTATTATTATCATTAGTGCAGAAAGCTTTCCGTTTGCCTGCTCGGACACTGTATCCCACTCACCCCGGGGTGGCCCAGACAGACAGGCTGGAAGCAGATCGCCTTCTATATTACCTATATTGTTCGATAGAGACGTAAAATATGTTACAATCGTTACAATCTATCAGCATGGGTCATTACGATGTCGGAGCGTCGGGGTGACAGGAAATATTCCAGGATAAAAGAGATATCCGGGTGGAGATTCACCGTGGCCCCTGGCTGGTGGCAGCCAAAAGGGAAACATGAACAGAATGCATCGATCAAGCTCTTGTGGCTCTGCAGCTTCAATAAAGGAGAAGGAAAATGGATTGGACGACGTGATGTTTTACCCCCCCCCCCCCAACCAAAAAAAGAAGAAAAAAATCCATAACCGAAAACCAAAACTAAAAACCAAAATCAACCCTCTCCCCTCCCTAAATTGAACGAACAAAAATGTAGGACAGGTTTGGGAGTTTTGAACCATTGTGCATTTCAAAGAAGACATTATCGTTTGTAAGGGATGCTTTTTGCGTGACATAGTAGTTGGGTTCAAAACTAGAAGATCCAGATGATAAGGAGTATTGGATTAAATTCCTGAAAGTAAGTCTGAATAAACAAGCTTGACACGGGACAGTTTAGAAGTAGGATTTTGGGTTGGGGACTGGGGGGGGGGGTGGTTAGGGTTGGAGGGGAGGGTCAATGAAATGTGAGGCGTGCTGACAAAATGAGTTACTTCTTACAATCCACAAATGGAGATATTGACCAAAAATCGACACTTGGGTCAAATTTCTAGGTTTGTTATTGATGCAATATTCATAAAGTAGTAAATGCCTTTTGCTATTTCATACTTACAAATAATAAAAACTGCACCTCTAAGCATGATGTATCTATTTACAAAGAGCCCTAATCCGAGAAGTAACTCATTTAGTCAGTACACTCCACAAATGGTACGTGTCTATGAAGGAAAATAAGACACACACACTACGCTGTTGCTCAACCAAAAAAAGCTGTTGTTCGAATTGTATAAATCTGATAAGCAGTGTCAATGTTGCAGCTGGGTAAAGAAAAAAAAAGAAGCGTTGTGCTGTCTTTCGATTCCTATGTAATCCCACCCCCCCCCCCTCTTTTTTTCGGATAACTCCGTTTTTTGACTGGGTTGCTGTATTAGTCTTAGTCTGAGTTGGCCCTTGCGCCTCCAAAATTATATAATGCACTATATTACGTCATGGGGAAGGGGCAGTAATCCAGTTGTAATCGTGTGCTGCCAGGGCTCTGACCCTCTTCTTAGATAACAAAATAGGCACATTTCCAAACAAACAAACAAACAAACAAACAGACAAGCAAGCAAACAAACAGACAAACAAACAGACTGACAGACAAACAAGCCAAAATATACCAAAAATAGAAACTAAACACAAACTTAAAAAAACAACAGCTATAAAACAGAAACCACCAAAATGAAATACCTCCTGTCAACATAATGAAGTGCCTTCCCAAAACAAACCAAATAGGCACTCGTGGTCTAGAGGTACGGTGTTCATCTTTCATTCAATAGGTCTCGGGTTCGAAACCTGACAGCGACGGAAAGTTTTCTTTCTTAAAAATGTCTTCTTTCCCCTCATTTCCTGCTCTCTAACTATGTTCTGTCATTTGCTTTCGTCTCCACTTTCTGTCCCCTCTCTGCTCTCCCATTTGCCTCCTTCTCTGGACTCCTAGCTCTTTTTGCTGCCTCTGTATTGTTACTCCTTGGCTCCTTCTTACTGCTGTAGTTCAGACACACCCCTGATCTTATGGGTGGTAAGACCTAACACCTAGCCTTCTCGGATAAGGGCAAAAAGTCTTAGCGATTCCGTTTGCAAGTTGTGTACGTTAAAGATCCCTTCTTGGTAAAAAAAATCAATTAGACTTGGTTTCGGCCGCCACCCGGGCAAAATTCAAAATTAATTCCTACCAAACTGAAAACGATTTATGTATACCGTGTGCTTCGTCAACTTCCTTGTCTATGAGAATGCCTTTGACAGTATAGACGAGCAACACTATGGAAAATACTGAGACATCACGGAATCCCACAGAAGTTTGTACACCTCATCAAGAGCATGTACGAAGGGACAAGTTACAGAGCTGTACATGATGGCCAGCTCTCTGACAGCTTTGTCATCAAGACTGCTCTTAGATAGGGGTGTTAACCATGACCTTTCCTCTTTGCCTTGGCAATCGACTGGCTGATGAAGGAAACCGCCACAGGACATAGAAACGACACACAGTGGAACCCATGAGACACAGTTGGACAATCTGGATTTGCAAATGACTTGGCGCTTCTGTCACACACCCAGGAACAGATGCAAGTAAAGACCTCAATTTTAAACAGCCTATCTGAGCCTGTTGAATTGAAGATCCACCCCAGAAAGTAAAAAGTCCTAAGGATGGATGCACTACGAAAGGAGCAGGTCACAATTAAGAGGGAAATGCACCTGAAGACATCGAATCCTTTTGATATGCAGGGAGTAAATAAACAATGTTTTCTCCGTGTCATTACCAACTAGTGTGAAAAAATTGGTGAGGCAGCGTGGTTGAATCAGGCTTTCGTCAATTTTTGTTTGGGCACGTAGAGTTATTGGTGTCATCTTAAAGCTTGTTCATTTGTCTTTATTTGAATGAAAAAAAAGTATCTATTTACCTTGAATAGAGGTCAACATATTTGCGATTGAAGGAGGTGGGGGTCACCTGTTTTCAGAGGTAAAATTAGTGAGAAAATGGCTCCCTAAGGTTGGTTATTTCCTTAGCTTAAGAGTCCGTGGTAACTGAAAATTTACATTTTTGTGCCTTTAATCAACGTTTTTAAGAATAATCCACACAGAAATGAGTTCTTTAATGAGCATGAAAGGTGTTGAGCCAAAAAACAAAAATTTGATACAAATTCACAAACCTGCGAAAAAATGCAAGTTTCTTCACTTTCATTATTTTGACGAGAGCCTGATTCCACCGCGCTGCCTCACATAGCTTTATTCCAGTATTTATTTCCCCATGGAGTAGCGTTGAAAGTAAGGATAAGCGAGGTGAACAACACCTTTTGCTGTGTGCGTCAATCAAGACTGTAACAACAGAATACGCACGAGAAAGCTTCAGATCACGGGACAATGCAAATTGTGTTTACCGACTGTGTTAGAAAGTTGAGCTGTACTGTCAGTTAGTAAGGGAGGAAAAGTCTCTTCGTCTCAGGGAAGTGCCACATGACATGAACCTATAGCTTCGGAAAAAATATACCATAAAAGATCAATCTAGTTTATCCTTTATTCAGAATGTCCAACTCATCGGCAAACAAAAGTTACCGTATTTGAAAAAAAGTAGACCTGGTTTTATTTTATTTGCTACTGCTATCAAGAGGGTCTTCTGATGATGTGGACATTTGAACACCACTTTAGAATCGTATTTTGACACCCC